GTTGTAGCGACTGAAGAGATTAAAAGAAATGTTAACATCTCGCAGTATTTGTCTTCTCTCTGTTCTAACGAATTTCCATCACTAATTGCTGCCTATGTGTTATCATTAAATCACGGTAGATAATAATGTACTTTTGAAACTAGACCCGTCTGAACTGAGATGAACAAGCGTTCGATAAAAGGAATAAGCTATGAATATTTTAGACGGTCACAACTTGAAAGACCGATGTTTATGGCATTGAGGATCAGTCAAAGTGGGTCAAAGTCTGACTGGAAGAGAGTTGCAGCAAATAAGGTGCATTTTACAAAAGAATAGTGTCATCTAGTGTGAAATAGGTAGAAATATTACGCGGAGAGGAGAAATTCTGAACTTCCGTCATGAAAATAATAACAGTGGGCAATCAAAATAATACAGCTTGAAAGAACCTTACTTATAGACTAAGATGATCCGTTAGGTCGTTTTGCGTTCAACCTGCTTTCCGTATATTTTACCAATCTCGAAAATGTGAACACATCCACCAAAAATACGCGTGGAAGGGATACCAGATATAAGCATGTTCTAGTCACAACACAAAGTGAAATAACTAGGGATCAATATTAGGTGTGGACTGAACATACCATTACACACAGCAATTGAATGCACAGAATGTTTCGGGGGGATAGATGTAGCCGCCTGACCGGCAATTCGTGTTTACCGTACGGACCCGACATGTGACTGCAGAAACAACAAAAAACTGTTCCGTTTATGTTCGGCGTTGTCAAGGCGTAACATCAGTGTCTGGGTCAAAGAATGGATGCCTCCTTTTTTTCGGCAACATTTGGCAATGTGAAAACCACGAGGGTGCGCTCCAATGACTTTCTTCCAAAACTGGCACAGGAGTTTCCACGTTCCAGGTAAATCCGTGCGTGAAGGCCATGAGGTCATCNTTCGTAGAAAACAGTTACGTCCACAACGATTGCCAAGCAGGAGAATATACAGAGCAACTTATTTGCTTATGCGATGATCCGCAAAACAGACAGGCTGAAAACCAGACCGAAAGATTCGAACCTTTTTCAGGGGTAAACGGTCGAACTGGAAGATTGGACCAAGCGAAATCTACCCACTGACTGGACCATCAATAACAATTTGACGTGCATATCCACGCATGTGGACGGACTTATGCATCCCTGACAGTCGTTTGCACCAGTCCAAGAGTGGACCAAAGTATTTTTCCTCCATCCGTAATCGGTTATTAGGACCTGACCTCAGACTTGTTTACCTTCATTTTGACTGCCTGTCTACGGAGTTGCAAATAAGCTGATTACTTGAAACAATTCGACTAACTTGCAAACATCGCACACAATGGAGTGGTGACGCGACCCACATAACGTTTACCATCGGTAATACGACTACCATTAACACGTTTGATAAGCATTTCTCCGAATCTACTCACTCAAACATTGAAAAGTAGCCGCGAATTTTGAGTCGTCAGCTCGGAGGTTTGTAGCAACTCAAATCTGTTGTTTTTCGTATCCATTAAAGAAGAAAAAATATTATATCCTTAACTAATCACTAGTCCACTATTTGCATTTGGCAATATTTATCCATATACATTTTCGTCGTACATCTTTTACTTTACCCTGTTCCGAACCGTCACCTACGCAGCTAACGCGGACCTCTGGCCTCGTTTTTAGCTTGTGATTCCGGTAGGACAGGGTATCCCCGGTTCGAAACTACCAGGAGGGGTTTAAAAACCCACGTTGTTGACTCCACAGACCATTATAGTGACCGACAGGAATGTCTGATCCTGATTGGATGGCATTGTGGATTGATGGACCGTAACAAACTGAGGAGTTTGCTACAACTGTAGTAAAGCAATAAAGAAATTTTGCGATAACACGTGCTAAAGCCCGCCGGATTCAAAGCTGATACTTACGAGAAATAAACTTGTGGCATGCGTATATATATATATATATAGGCCGGGATTTGGCACTTATATGTGGTGAGTGGATTCGCCTCTGGTCAACAAAGGAGGTCACTATCAATAACGACGTTTGAGCGGAGGTCCGTGGTTTGAACCCACTGTGACAAATTACCCAAAGAACGTACCATGAAGATTATCCTCACATGTCCCAGCGGAAGCGAAATTAGTAGACCAAAAGACAGGAACCGTTTCTTCATTTTGTTGGTTCGACTCGTTTCCCACGCTGTGAAAGACCAGTAGCAAGTTTGGATACACGACTGCCGGTTGTGCTGCAGCCCTCCCTCGCATCCAACCAAGCATCGGCTCACACTGAGCTGCAGGTGTACTACGGCATGGCGACAGTTGGATTGCGATAAGCTATCCCAATCAGCTGACCTAATCACCATTCAAAACATGCTACCTGAAAAAACTAGAACTGGCCAAATCAATCAGCATCGGTCTTTTATCAAAAATGCTCCGCATCCAGTTGACCTGTTGAGTTGTGTCTCGTTTCGTAGCACCACAGATTCTCATTAAGCCGTTGTGCCTTCTCAACGAATGTCGGTTGTGAACATACCAAAATACGACTTGTAACGAGACTTCAAATAAAAACAGGCCTACGCAGAGGCCATGAAATCTGGTGGCTGCAACGAGCATTGAAGATGGAACGCACTGTCGCCTTCTCATTTGGGTATGGGGAAACGATCTGAGAAGCGGACGGTCTGTCTAATCACATTTAGCAGCGTCATCTTGCACAGCCTCAGCGACAATTTTCCCCGTAGCTAACCCGGTGCTCACTCCACGTTCTGTC